GTTATGGTAATCTTAATGTACTTACATTTGTTAAAATTGTCTTGCTTTTTCAGCCAGACTGGCATTAAAGTTAGCTCCCAAGCGTATCTCTGGAGTTACCATAAATTCACCTACAGGCTGTGGATCCCCAAACCAGGAGTTATCACCCGGAGACCCACTTGAATGCCTAACTTCAGAACTGGCCTCTACAAAAAGTGTAAGGTTAAATAGCCATGGGACATTTCAGTCTTCCATACAACTTATATCTAACTCCAACAACAATCCAACATATAGATAACTTATGGTTGTTTTTCATAATTTGTGATGATTACTGCATGATTATTTTTACAGACTTTGGGATCAGCTCAGTTGATCTCGCTGGGTTGTTCTGGACCTGGTGCAGATGAAGGCTGCCATCTTTCGGTCCTGGATGAGTCACAAAAAAAGCTTTTGGTTCAAAAATCCACACCTCCACCTTCTCCTCTTTTGTCTGAGCTCCTGAAGAAGGGCAGCATTTTGCCCACAAATGCCAGACTGGTAGTTGAACAAGAATAATAAATATCAAATAGTATTCAAAAAATAGTTAACACTATGTATTGCCCTTTAGAATATAGGAACAGTATTATTTATTCAATGTTTATTTTGAAGATTGGAGATGGGGAGCTCTCTGCTATTCACATGGTGGATTCAAGCACACCACCGGGTCTTTCACTGCCTCAGGTCCCAGGTACATATGATTGTTAAACAATGTACATTATTATTGAGCTATTAACATCATATTTTTTTAATTGACCACTGTTCTCTCCTACAGCAATTGTAAAATATGAACAACAGCTAACTGTGTTATTGTATGTGACACGGCAGGTGCACCAATGCTGTCTCGTCTGCTAGAGGCTGGGCCCACTCCTTTTTCAGCCCCATTAGGTTTTATGGTCAGTGGAGACAGTGCAGCCTCTTCTGCCTCTCCTGTTACAGAGGACACAGATGCTTCAGCATGTGCAGGTCTGTCCATGCATACTCTTTATAACACACACTGTGTATAACTGATTTATTATGAGTGAATAACTTCACTCAAGACACTAGTCACTATTAAACACATCACTGTCTTGTGTGCAGAGCAAAATGCATTGCCTTCTATGGGCTCTGGATGCAGAAGGGGCCCTCCTGAAGTGAAGGAATCTGAGCTGAGCGAGGAGGATGTGAACGTAGCATACATGGGAGATGAACTGGATTTAAAGACAGTGGGAGATATCATTGCTATTATTGAGGATAAGGTGCAATAACATAATTTTGTTAATAATGTATATTGTACATTAAATGAATCATGCTACACTCACTTGTGTGGTTTGACTTCAGGCTGACGAGAGTGCAGAGGCGCTGGATGCAGCGGCCGTAGAGGCAGCTCTGTCTCTGTGTGAAGAGAGTGGGCACACACTGGCAGCTGCCTGGGCCTCAGGGCCTTTCCAGCCTCAGGACAGTAGCCCAACAGCACCCGCTACAGTGACTCCTGGAGCCCCACAGTTTCCATCTCATCAGGGCAGCCCCGTGGCAAAGACAGAGCTGTTACCGGCAAATAGAGGGGCTTCTGCTGAACACACATCTCTGTGCAATAGTCAAGAAAACTGCCCCGGAGCCTTACCCAGGGGACTAAAAGGCCTTTCACAAACATCATTGTCTTCATGCAACTCTTCTCATTCTGAAGCAGAGAGAAAGCCTGCAGATGATATGCTGCAGGTCAATCAAATCTCAACTAAAATAACAATCAAATGTGAGGGTGAGAAATGGACACAGCACCGACTAGACAAGGGTCATGGAGGTAGGTACATTAATACAAGAAAAAAATAAAATACATCAAGACTTTTGTATTACCTAATATATTATTACTTTGCATATTGGCAGACTCATTATTAGACGATAGCCCACTGACAGAAAGAAGTCTCAAGGTATGGCACCCAATAAACATACATCTGTTGTACTGAACTTCACAATGTGAAGATCTGCCTGTATTATAAATCATTTAATATTTGTATCTCATTTGAAACTTTACAGGGGACAAAAGTAAAGGATGAAGCATGCTTTGACACAGCACAAGCAGACTGTGAAAGCACTGGTGCTGAAGACTGTGTGGTCAAGGGGGAGGAGGATGAGGCCTTTCTCTCAGAGCTAGAGGGTGATATGGAGCTCGAGCCTGCAGCGAGTGAGAGTGAAGATGGATACAGTCTCACTGCTTCCTCCTCTCTCCAACTCAACACAACCGCTGATTCCATCCCTAGTAGCCCCGCCTCCTCTCAGTTGTGAGTGAAAAGCCTCGCCCACAAAACAGGCAAATGTAAAAATGTTTGAATAAGTGTTTGCTTTGTTCACCAATCAGACGCAACATTATGGCCACCTCCATTTAATTCTTAATAGTAAATGGGACCTCTGGTGAAAAAATAGCTACCCAGTTGCTGATTTATGCATCACTGTGTATATCAGTACTGAAGATTTTAAAACATAAATCGGGACAATTAATTTTAATTGTATAAATGTTAATTAATTTAAAATGTATTTCATCAATTTATTTAATTTAATTATATACCCTATCCACTGTGGTGCTTCAGATGCAACAAACTGCAATGTACTGTGTATTCTGGCACTAGGACACATTAGTTTTCCAAGCAATTTAAAAAACAGCAACTTATTTGATGAATCAGGCCTCATGGATCAGTCTTCACATTATAATTGTACAGGTTTCCAACAAACCATCAACAAATTTTTTTTCAAACTCATTCTTTGCTGGTCATAATGTTTTGTCTGATATTTCTGTATATTTGCCAGTTCATAATAATGTGTAAGGTTTCAAATTAAGTTTTCAAATAGAATATTTTGCTCAAGGGTTCTCATTTATATTGTTGCAGTTCAATGTGCAGTGAGGATCAGGAGGCTTTACAAGCGCACAAGATTTGGAAGAAAGCCATTATGTTAGTGTGGCGTGCAGCAGCCAATCACAGGTCAGTTTGCACATATTATGATGTTAATATAATTCAGACAAAACATTTTTCTTCAAATGTTTTTTTTAATTTTTTTTATGCTAGGTACGCCAATGTTTTCCTGCAGCCAGTTACAGATGAAATAGCTCCAGGATACCATAGTATTGTGCACAGGTAGGAAATTTTGCTTATATCATTGTGTGCAGGCAACAATAAGCATTGTAATGTTTTTTGTTTTGTTTTTTTATCTGTAACTTAACGTACATGTAGCATTCATTTATTTCAGTTCACATTATAGGCTCCATTTTAGGAATTTTCACAATTCAAAAGACAAAATATTTAGTTTGGAGTTAATAACTGCAATGGCTAATGTGATTTTTTTTCATAACTCTGAAACCTGTGTATACTTATATATATTTGTTATATATATTTGTTAACATTCTCATTTAAATGATTGAATTGTGTATTTCTTGATTAAGGCCTATGGATCTCGCCACCATCAAAAAGAACATTGAGACAGGTTTGATCCGTACTACGGCAGAGTTCCAGCGGGACATAATGTTGATGTTCCAAAACGCGGTCATGTACAACAGCCTGGACCATGACGTGTACCACATGGCTCTGGAGATGCAGCGGGACGTCCTGGAGCAGGTGCAGCAGTTTCTGGCCACACAGCTTATCATGGAAACCAGCGAGTCAGGCATCAGCGCCAAGAGCCTGAGGGGGGGCCGAGAGAACACACGCAGACAAGACTCCACTGACAAGGTGCTACTTCATGAGATTTGACAAAAGCTGGGGTCAGAAGAAGAGGCAAGGGTGAACAGCATGCACTTTAAGTTAGACAAAACTGCCTAAGATCTGAGGCCTGTTGCAAAACGTGTGTTTATACATATATATATTTCTGCAAACTTGGCTTAGTATTTCCCTTTCATTTTGTCAATATTCTCTCCAATATTCACTATTTTTATAAATGAAAGTCAACGGGAGGTTTTTAAACAGGTAAAAGTTGTTTTGATTTGTCTTCTATTTTAAGACTTACTGCATCTTGGCTGAATTATTGGGTGTGTCCTAAGTGTTAAATTCATACTCAGTCTTTTATCCAAGATTATTGATTTAGATGAATGTCTAAAAGAAAAACATTCTTCACCTAAAGTCAAAACGCCTTGAAACAAAAGAGCAGGTGAAATAAGCCCAATATTATGCTTTATTTCCTTTTCACTTCTGAGTCTAAATCTGCATCGTTTTGCTCTGGCAGGACTCTGTCTCCATGTCCTCTCCTGCCTTTCTTCTTTCTCTTTTTGTAAGTACCTTGCCCTAAAGCTATTTTTTCCCTTTTCAACATTTGTAAAACATGACAACTAATGTTTGTACTGTTTTGTTTTGCAGGATGGAGGCACTAGGGGGCGCCGCTGTGCTATGGAAGCTGACCTGAAGATGAAGAAATGATTTCTGGGAAATGTTGGCTTACAGTTTCACTCAAGTTGAGCAGTGAATAATAGTGCTGCATGGATGCTCCTTTTAATGCAGTTTTTGTAACATGGCGTGTTATGATTTATTTGCACTCTAAATCAATGGATAGACTATAAATGTGTAATTTGAGTCATCCACATACAGGGCTTACTAACAGATTAATCCAATGTTACTACGGGGCATTTAAATACTAAATCTTTAACAGAGCTATTCATTAATTTCCTGAGCCTCTGTAAAAGGTTATAAAGGATTTTTAGCAATGTGGTGATTTAGAATGAATCAAGAGGCCAAAGAACATAATACTTGTAACCATCAAATGAAATACACTATCGATATCTGCCTATGTACACTGTGGTATTTGAGATATTTTTGTCACTTGTTATGTTGGTCAATTACCCTATAGGTGAACTATGTCAAGTGCTTAAATATATTTATTTTCAGTGTTTCAATATAACACTACGTACTAATCAGTATTGTCAGTTTCAAATAAACCTAACCTACAATCATGAAACTTGAGTCTTATTTGCAGTTTAAACTCTACATATCCAAAAAAAAAAAAAAAAAAAAGAACAGAAGTCAACATAGTGTGAACTTTTTATTTTTTCTTGAATGTTGGCTATGAGCCACTGTTTCCTTTGTCTTAATTTCACAGTTTTCATGTGTAATGTTAACAATGTTTTAATAATAATCTGAGGTCTTGGTAGTTAGCTTCAATTAAGTAAATACATAAATCATGACATTGAACGGTTCTGCATGCAACATTAAATAAATAAACTTAAATTTCAAACAAACATTTGAACTAAAGTGCTTGATACAGACTTCGTACAAATGAGAACTTCTAAAGTAATTGTCAGTCTAGTCAGCAACATGAGCACATTAATATTGGAGGATATTGTCCAGAAATAAGACACTGAAGTCTGTTTTGTTAATGAATACATTTTCTAATTTATAATTTCTAAATTTATATTTTAATAAAATGAGATCTATTACCACAGTGTGTGAAGGATTAAGCACTCCATCTTGGTAAATTGTGAATGCTTATACAATGTTATACAAACGTTTTTGTCCCATATTTGTATCATTATTTTGTATAATGGTTAAAAAATGACTATTAAACATGGCTATTTAGTAACATTTTGGAATTCTTTAGCAAAAAAAACAAAAAAAAAACAGACATGAGCGTGGAAATAGTGGTTTGAAGCAAGTATAAATAGCGAGACCCATCATACTGTAGATGGGCAACTGGCATTGGTAGTATTTTTGAATTTGATTTGTCCTTACAAATAAAATGATGACGCATAATGCTCTTGTAACATTCACAAGGAAAACTAAAAAATACAAATAGGCGCTAGACAGAGGCCTTGTCTAGTTACATAGAAAGCAAAAAACCTTAACTGTGCCAGTCGACAGCCTTCAAGCCTTACCTCCCTACCAAACACTGTGCAATTTCTATAAGTGTTGTGTCTCCACTAGTATAACACTGTCACAATAACATCATACCTCACAGCTTCCATCATCAGTGCTGGCTGCTAACATGCGAACACTATTTTCTACCATTCAAGAGAAGGCACATAGTTTTCAGTGGCATTAGCTACCACTGCACCATTCCTCACTCTTCTCCAAAAGTAGCCAGATTGGGAAAACTACACTCATTCAAATGTGTAGTTTAAGATGAGTCAGAAATGTCTCCTCTCTCACAGTCCACATTAGCCTCTTTGTCTTTGCACTAGTCGATGTAGTTTCTCACAGTTGTCCAGCCTCATTGTTTCAGCCTTCTGCTTTAACCGCTCATCTCTGTAAAGCTGCCCTAGATTTGCCAAGTCTGACTCTGCAAAAATAAAAGATAATGAGAAAAATGTATAATATTAACAATAAGGTTGAAATTTACAGCAATTAAGTATAACAATTTGGCCATCTAACATTTAAACCCCACAATAGCTGCACTATTGGAAAAGGACAGACACAAGATAGCCATCACAATTAGGCCACTCGACATGTCTACAAATTTGTCTGAATAGTCTTTTTATTATATACATTATTAATGACTTACTTTGCTGTTTCTCTTTCCAGCAGCTGCTCTGAAGATGCTCAATGTAGTCACTTTCTATAGTCTTCTCCAGCTCGTCTAGTGCAGCTCCGCGGTACTCCTTTTCAAAACTTTTATCTACATAATACGGTACGCCCATGTGCTGTGTTTCCCTGGACACCACCAGCCCCAAAGCCCTGGAAACAAGAGATACCATTCAAATTAACCCATTAAAACAGACCTGTCAATACTACATATAGGCTGGTTATGCAACAGACTTACGGTTTATAGAAGAGGCTGTAGGGAGGGTTGGTGGCCATCATCTGAGTAAACACTGATATGAGGATTAGGACCAGCACAGGGAGGAGCTGGAGCAGAGCAGTGAAGGTGTTCTGTGATAAAATCAGCAGCAGGCAGGAACAGATCAGGTTACAGGACATGCAGGCTGGAGCAGTAAACTGCATATTCATGTCTTTAAAGCAACATACAATGAATGCAGATAACAGAAAATGCATATTATTTGGAATTTTATTACAAGAGCCGCTGACTGTCATGCTTATGGAAATGTACAAAAAGACCTCTAAATAATAAAAAAATAATCATGTGATGTTAGAAACCAATCCAATTATGCTATGTATCTAGTGGCAAGTATTCTATATTGTAATAATAATAATTATATCCTTACTAATTCAGCATAATTTTGACAAAAATAAGAACAAGTATTCTTTTTTTTTTTTGGAGAAATACATTCATCAATGGCAAGTAACTAATAAGGCCCAATTCAAATATTTGAAAATTAAAAACTAACTAAATAACAAAATACATAATCTAGACAAGTAGCACAAATTCTTGGAAATCATGTTCAGATGACCTTTTGTTGACACCTTATTTTAATTTTTTTTCAAAAATGTGCCACCCTGACTGCATGAAATCATTGTACGTGTGTTGAAAAGCATGATAGGAGGTTCTGAGTTACAAACCTGACTCTGGTTTTCTTCCACAACCTCCTCACGCCTCTCATATGCTCGTCGGCGGCGCGGCTGGTAGAACTGGGAATAGGAGGCTCCCTGGTTGGTGTACACATGAATGTTGCCTGCACAATGGGACATATATGCTAATAATTACAGTATTTCTCCTTTTGTCTTATTTACATATGGTATGGATATTGTCATTATACCTGTGGGGAATCTTCCTCCAAAGAATATGTTGAAGAGCTCTTCAGGGGAGATGTCAGCCTCGAAGTCTCTGTGGAAGTTGCGGTAGTGTCTATGGTGGGCGTGAGTAGAGTGCTGTGTAGTTGGAGCATTGGACTGGTCTCCGTACTGATCGTACTGTTGCCTCTTCTCTGGGTTACTCAAGACTGCATATGCATTTCCTATTGCTGTAGAAGTAGGAATAAGAATAACATGATTTCCTGATGTGACAAAAAAACAGATAAAACTCAAAAACACTAATTTAACTAATTTAAAACTAAATATGCAAGTTTGAATATTTGATGATTGAGTAATAAGCTCATGCAAATCAATACACTGTCTATCAAACACTAGTACATTATTACATAACATAAAATACCTTTGAATGCATCTGTTGCCCCAGGAGCACAGTTTTTATCAGGGTGAAATTTTAAGGCCAGCTTTCTGTAAGCTTTCTTCAGATCTTCCTCACTTGCATTTTTGGGAACACCAAGAATCTCATAGAAGTCTTTGCAATTCTTTATCCTGTAATTTTGTAATCACAGAATTGCATATAGAGGTTACTATTCATTATCAATTCAGCACACATCATGAACAAAAAATAACAATTTATTTATTTATGTTTTAGGGGAACTTCGCCTAGATATGTGTGAGTTATTAAGCATAGCCTTAGTGTTTAGACAAGAAAACCTCCTTGCCTCAGTTGTAATGTAAAGTCAAATATGACGATGATACCTGTAAACAGACTGCCGTTGATCTTCTGTGTAGCTGTGCTTTTCGTCACTATTTGAATTACTTGCATTACTGGTTCCTTCATTGTTTCCGAAATCTTCATCTCTCCAGCCCGATGGTGGTGGTACATGGTTTGAGTCTGTTTGAGGAGTGCCTCCATTTCTGAGTATGGCTTCAATAAGGACTATAAAAACATACAATAGAGATGTTTTAATGAAAATGGAAACATAAAAGAACACAAGTCAAATGATGTATACCTTATAAAATGAATCTAACACCTATGGTTACTACATGTATGACAATTATTTCAACTGGGGGATTAACAATAAAAAGAAAACCAGTAAAACTAGAATAACCAGATCAGGCCAAAAATGTCATCTGATATTTGATGTGTGCTTACATATGCAAAAGAAATCTGATCATCAGTTCATTATTATCAAAGATTTTTAGATCGACAGATGTATTTGGGAAACAAAGTACAATAAATGACCCTTTCCTTTTAGTCTTTATCATATTAGTTTACCCTTTATGTGTAAATCTACACAATCTGAAAGAAAACAGGTTAGTCACATGAGATGTAACTGTTCCAATCAGTTGCATCATTTCAAATGACAGAAATCAAATGATCAGATTTTTTGTGTGCATGTAAACATAGCCTGCACTGATCGATGAGAAACCATAATTCTGTAATTTATATACCATTTATATGCATTGTGTTACTACAATAATACATAACTTATATCAATAAGGGACCATTTAGCTGGCTCATTGCACTGGTGGTGCTATTGTACCTGTTCGTGTCGTATAGCAAGATTGCGTTAGTGGGTATTTTGCCATTGCTAAATTTACCTCTGGCCCTGGTGCTCGGGTACAGGCTCTGGGCTTCGTTCAGCAGCTGCAGCGCCTTCTCTTTCCGTCCCGAACGTAAACACAGCTTGGCCTTTTCTATTAGCCTGTCCGCTTCTTCTTTGTCCATTTTAGCTTATTCGAGGTCAATTTTGCACGATCCGTAGCTATTTATATCGTTGAAATCTCGGTCCGTATCATATGTCGGAACAGACACCTGCAGCTAAGCTAACAGCCCGTGTGCGCTTTGGTTACTGACAGCTGCGTACAGCGTTAGCTAGCTCCGTGTGCGAAGAAATTGACCTCGCTATTAGAAATAACACGCGTGTGGCTGCTGTCAGACTGCAAGAACAATTTAAAAGTTGTCATTTTGAAGACCGCATGCTACAAACATTCATCTTGATTCTGATATTACAATAATTTGCCTTAATATGACAGCACCGTTATCCGAAAGTAAACCTTGAGGAGGGCTCGTCGACCGATGGGAGAGGAACCAACTGGGCGACGTCATATCCGAGAAAAAAAAAAAGCACAAAATAAAACTAAGAATAAAAAATAAATAAAAATAAATTACTAATCTTAATAATTAATAATACATGTTTTCATTATTTGCAATGCAGCTGTGATCAGATTTTATTTGATTGTAAAACAGTTTATATAACAGAGTTTAATTCCATATAGCATTGTTGCAGAACAGCGTTGCCTTCAAGACCTACAAATTATTATCAACAAACAATGCCTTTAAAAAGTCTTTATTAATTGGTATTTTAAATAATTATTGTTGGAATAATCAATAGCCCAGGCAGCGTGTTTATTTAGACAAGAGGAAGATATTCTCAACCGTATAAGCCTAATGTTCTTAACTATTACTCCATTGCTATGTAACTATGTAACTTTTCTGGTGGGGAATCATTCACCATGGATATCTTATTGCTGTACTTGGAATGTTCCATAGTATGCCATTAAACTGTTGATCTTATATTTTATGCCAATACAGGTGTGGACTCTCCTCTCTGCAGATCTGGTCTGTAACTTGGTCTGATGACATCACCTGCTTATCTCCATTGAGATAAAGTTTCATAACATGGGACATTTCAAGCGGAACAATAACATCTTTATGGAGAAAGGAGGCTCCATTTACACTCACATTTCTCATTTTTGATATGAAAATGTCAGTGGACAAGAGATGTAAATATTACAATGTGTGGAAGTAAAATCACAGTACAGCATATGTTCATGCATATTTTATTCAAGAGTAAAAAAATGTGATTTGTCCCATAGGGCATGCTTACAATGTGTGTATCATTTAGGAAGTCAAATGCCAAAACATATTGTATTTCCAGAGATAATAAAAAATGTTGCAAGTTAAAGTCCATTATATCAGTTTGTTGAAATATGCATGTAGACCATACAAGACCCAGAAACAAAGGAAAATAACCATAAGCTTAATTGTAACAATAATCATATCAGCAGTAAATAGAAACAGAGTACAATGTTTCCTGTTTAAACGTGTGACACATGATTTCCACTGTGTCCAATTCATTTACATCTGAAAACCATGCTATCATGCTTTGGCAGCCTGAAAGTTGCTTTTCACTGAGATTATATTCATTCACACTATAGAACATTTTCTGTACATTTTCAGTACAACAGAAAGAAACACAAGGCTTCACAGCTCAGAAGGGCACCTCTGCATAACAACAAATCAATATAAAAAGAAAATCAGCAGTTGTAATAAATAACAGAATCCAAATGAAAATTTGACAAGAACAATTAAAGGAAGCCTATTCATTAAAAAAATATAAAACAAGACAAATCAAACTACAAATATATCTCCAAAAGAAAAAAGTTCAAGTTTACTATTTGAAACACAACTATCACAATTATAATCTCACATAACAATTAGGAACTTAATTGCATGCACTGATGCGTTCCATACCATACAGTAGATGCTGTGTTAAAAATCACTGTATTTGTCCATCCTTAAGTCACGTACCATTAGGATTAAATAGAAAGATGAAACATGGAGTAGAAAAAATAGTTATGTATATAAGATGTAAGAAGGAAATTCTAGAAATGTCTTTTAAATTCCATCATGATTTTCCAAATACTTATTATTCTCAATTTACATCCAGTTAACATTGAGTCCAGTGCAAAAGGGATATAAATGGTCTGATTATTCAATATAGAGACTTTTTAATATATAGTGTTATACATATGCATAATTTGTTTGTATTTCCCAATTTATAGAATTTCCTTTTCATGTTGATATAAGTCTTTATTTATGAAATCACATGGAGTTTGCAGCATAGCAAAATGTGCAAAAACTCAAAGGGTGCTCATGTACCTCATAGTGAATGAATGCTTAATATTTCTCTCAACAAGCAAGTGAGCAATACTAAGGTTAGTGACAGCAGGTTAACTATGTGGCACTCATTCTCCATCTGATTTATTACAAAAGATTTGCGAGCATTCAGGCGCATGTCATGATTGTTAGTGTCTGTGAGGTATAGCTTTGTCAAGTGCTAGATCAATGTGACAAAAATCATTTTGAAAATGAGTTGGAGCGGACTTCCCTCTCAGAGATTTCCGAGTTGTTTTAAGGGACATTTTTATGATTATAAATGATTGTGATTCCTCAGAGATAATATTTTCCTTCATGCTTAATTGCTCCCTGGCTTTTGCTCCTCATCCCCTCCAAGTGTTGCTTGCTAGGTGATGACTGATGCCCAGAAAGTAATAGAGCACTACAGGAGAAATGCATGACTTTCTAAAAGCTATAGTTTAAACTGAATACACGATTCTGAGCAGCCTGAATGTTGTTTGTCCTTTACAGGATTGCATCTTACCTCAAATCAGTCAATAAAGCCCACAGCAGGTAAAATTGCAAGTTGAAAGAGGTACTTTTTTAAGCTTATTTTTTGCGTTCCATTCTTTTTGCATGTGTTGTAACCTGGTAATACTAGCAAAACATGTTGGTAAACAAGCGTATATTCCTCATAACGTGAATTTATATGTGATTCTTCATAAACCTTTTAGAAAATAGTAAAATGTGTCATGGATACTGCAATTAAATCTTCTCTCTGATAAAAGGAGCAGACATTTTTGCCAGCAATCATAAAATGCACAACCTTCTTCAAAAATCAGTCCATAATTGAACAGGCAGAGACAACTTGAACCAAGCTGCAGCCAGCTGTCCACTCCTCATCCTCAATTTTTCCCCCAAAACTGTGCAATGACACAACGTCAAGAAAAAAATGACCCTTTAAACACCCCTTTAAGATTAGCTGCAGGTTTTCATTTGTCTTTCTGTGGGCCTGTTAGATTTCTATATCGGGAGGCCTGAATTTCCCATTTTGGCAAAGTGTTGCGGCACAAGGGGCAGCAGCAGCATGGTCCCAAGGCTCAGGCGGCGAAATCACTGGATGTTGCTGTTGTCGTCTGTCCCATTGGCCTCAGACATGTTCATCTTGCCCATGGAGTGGCCCACATGGTTCACCCCGTCTTTACGAGGTGGCATGCGCTCGTTGATTCGGTCCAAGCCTTTAGCCTCCTCGAAACTGCTGATCTTATGCTGAGGGGAGAAGCCGCGGATCGCTGGAGAGCAAACACAAAAAGAAGTCACATGAAAGGTACTGGTAAGGGTGAAGAAGACTTTGTAGTTTATAGCTAATGAACAGAATATGAGTCCGATAATAACCATCCAAATTATGAATTACTGAGTCTGCAGGAATGATTGTCTCCTCCAACCACATATGTTTACAGTTTACATACTTACCTTATTATGAATATATGCATGAAAAAATCCACTTCTCAAAACTAAATAGTTATTGAATTTGAAGTGAACCAATGAGGAAATATATTTATGGCTATGTTTCTTTTAGTATTTTATTGTTGGCAGTGACAATTAGTGGTACTACTTGCCACTGTGCACTTGGTACTTTTACTCACAGTGATGGCAGAGGGTGTAGTAGTACTGATGGTACCAGGAGAAGCTCTGTGCAGTAGGACAAAGTACTTGCAATAGCAGTAATAGTGAGTGGTTTATTAAGAAATCATAGTAACAATTTAAGGGTCTACTTAAGTAATATTAACAGTATCTAAGTAAGTATAGACTTGAATTATTGAGCTTATGGTCATTCTTACTTTCCACTCACTACAAACTCCCTGCACTGAAATCTTTTACATGGCCATTATCTGTTCTGGGCTTTAACATCTAACATAATAAATACACTAAAACACAGTTCAGTGGAAATGAAAATCACATTTCTGAGCCACAAATCCCTTTAGAAACACATTCTTATATCCCCCTTTTCCCTGACAACTTTGTTTTCTGTTTCACTGGGAGAGCCAGTTCTCACTCTCCCAGTGAAACTAAAAATACATCAGATTAACAAAGATGTACATAAAATCCCTTTAATCCATTTGTTTCTGCAATATCCAAGAAACACATATGGTGACAGTCTGCAGCCAACAAATCTTTGTAGAGATATTTTCACACACCAAATGTTTACCTTTGAGCAAACACTCATAATACCAAAAGACTTAAACTGCTGTGTCACTGTTGAATCCAAGTTGGCGATTATGAACTTAGACAGATCACGGGAACGGAAACTGGCTGGTGCATATTTGATGTGGATGCTGTTTTGCTGCTTGTTGTTGTGCGTGCAGTGCATTTCAGAACCAGATGGGGGCCATTTGTGAGCCAAATCCAGAACAATGAAGCACTTTAATCATGTATCTCTAAGCTGCACTTGACTTCTCAGTGTTTTATTTATTATGAGTGTGTCTTGATGGCACACAAAGCACTTCCATTTGTTCCATTCTGAATTCAGCTTTTTCTTTTCGCCTGATGCAATAGGAGTTTATGAAGAACCAGGTGTAAACTACCCATTCTAAATAAGTACATAAGGATATACAGTATAACAGTGAACTAATTAAATATCAGACAAATTTGACATTGTTTGCTAGAAGCTTGCGTAAATGTGTGCAACTTTCAAAATGCAATTGTAAAGCCAATTGTATCTGAATGATGGTGTTCGTTTAGTGGCAAAAATCATTAAAAACAAATACAAATAAATATAAATATTTACTTAAACTCAACTTCAAGTGAAACATTTTTTATATAAATATGTATAAATATTATTAAATTATAAATATTATTATTTATAAATATTTATAAAATCAAAGTAAAGTATATGTAACCTTTATTAGCAATAAATATGTAATTGGACTAAATGATTGAGTAATCAATTTTAGATAGATCAGTAGAAACATATATAGGAATTTATTAGTATCAGTGGCTGATGCTTAAATGAAAATGTTGTCATGAGTTGGAAAAATATACATAAATGGTGCATCGTAACCAAAGATCAAGAAGTTTCACCAAAATAAAAAATCCAAAGATTTTGAGCAAGGTTTCTGATTCATGCAATTACTACACTAATTTATCACCACAAACTGTTATGCATGCTGTCAATATTTTCCAATAACTTAAATT